AATCACCCTTGCTATTGATGCATTAGAAGAAACACATAAAACAGGTCAGAAAAATTATTCCAAATATGATCCTAAAGCAGAATCTCTCCTGAGCAAAGCCTGTAGAATTTTTGTGATTTCAAACATCTTTCCATTAAGAAAATTTTTTAAACCTAAGCAAAAGTTAGGCTATCTTCCATACCGTCAGAATTCAAGGCTATTTCTACATTTTGCAGCAAATCTCAGAGACAACAGCATTCTGCCATAGCTGGTTTTCTATGCAATTTCACATAGCAAGACAAGTCAATCTAATAACCTGCTCCTTACTGCCAAAATTTCTATTTCTCCTCTATCTCCCTCTATGTCACATCCCAACTATGCACTCCCTGCACTTTCCTTATGCATCATTCTGACTAGCAGAGGTAAGCACCAGATAATTCAGTTCACTAATCTGGCAAACAAGGAACACAGCAAAAAAGAACTAGTATTTTGCCAGGTTAGTGAATTCAATTGCTTACAGAAATACTTCATGAGCACCAGAATCAGAGCAAGGAAAGTGTTAGGACCACGCAGCTAAACGAAAGCTGGGGGCAGATCAACACTTCCACGTTCATGTGCCAGTGAGTCAGAGTAATTTTGTTTGCTGAGGTATAAAATGGCTATTATATTGTCTGATAAAAGCAAGCTGTTACGTCTATTAGAAAGGCCTTGCATGTGTTGTAGATGATTTACTTTTTTGCTTAGGCAACAAACACTGGAAAAAAAAGGTTTGCATGCCCTGTAACCTGAATCCACGACAACTTGAAGCTCCTAAGTCTAAAGAATGTGTATTAATGACAACAACAGACAACACTAAAACATGTCCAAAGACATATTACTAATTTAAGCCTGTTTAATGATGGATAAGCTTTCAGTGGTGTGGAGGCCATTATGGACCCAGTAAGTTGTTTTCTTTGCACTGGATATAAGACAAACTTTCTCTCATTTCTTACAAAGCGAAGATGATAATAGCTAGAGAAGAGTCTGTCTTAGAATTTCTTACTGCAGCTGACCACCAAGTGATCAGCAGCTCAATACAAAAATATGTCGATGCTCTATCCTATATGTTTAAAATTGGTGGCTGTGCTGGCTAAGCACATCTTTGATGTGATGGAAGAAGTCCAAAGGAAAAGACTCAGTAACTCCAGAAAGCACCTATAGTGAATTTAACAAGCACTTGTTAGCTGAATAGATGACAATATAAAAATATGCATCCTGAAATCTGAGAGCAATGTGCCACTTTTTCAGATCTGATACTGGAATAATCACTGTTAACAAAACTGATTTTAATCTATTTATTCAGATAGAGAATGTGACAAACCCCTAAACTTCTCTTTTTCCTCTGAAACGAGGAAAAATCTTAATTTCTTGCCCCCTTATATAGTGATACAGAATCATCTCTGACAGTAACCAGAGACTGCACACTGTTTTTTCGTGTGTAATAGCAGAAGGTTTTCCAGACTGGGACAAGGAAGAAGGATAGGGAAACAGTAAGAAAAGGAATTCAAATTCACAGCCCCTCTTCAGCTGAATCTGTTTGCCTGAAGCAAGGATAGCCCAGGTAGAGTGGTATCACACAATGATCTGAGCAATGATCAAAGGTATGGAAGCTGAGAACAGGCTTCAGATAGGAAAAAAAAAAGTCCTCAGAGGGGAAATAAAATTTGCTGTGTTTAGGACAAAGGAAAAGAATGATCAGGTGTCACAGCAATTATTTTAAGAGTGGGGGTTTTGCCCCGTATTTGCAGATTTTGTTAACTTGTGTTGGTAATGGAAAGATACTCTTTCATCGGTGCTTTGCAGTGCCCTCTCATTCTGTGGGCTGGAGCCTATAGGGCCTATGAGGAGCTATAGCTAGCCCTATGAGGATCCAGTACCCAGCAGTCATCAGTGTAGGTAAAACCTACATTGTTGTTTGAAGTTCCTTGAGAATCCCACAGAGACTGGTAGGATCAGTAGAGCATAGCAACAGTAATTCCCATTGCTGTAGAAGCTATAGCAGTTGCATCTAAAGCAGGCTGAAAAGAAATCTAGGCGAAGACAAATTGACTGTCATACCAAAATGAACTTTCATTTATCTCTGTACCCTAATAGCAACTTATGAATAATATACTCTATTTCAGGCCAATTTAGCATAGTCAGTTTCAGTACCGCTGTTGGATCATTTGAAATGATCACCTAAAGGCGTGATGTTAAACATTAATTCACAACACAGAGGCACACGCTTCATTTTCTTTGGAAACAGCTTTTGAGACCTCTTAACTTGTGACCAATAGAAACTGTGAATCTTTTAGGAAGATAAGGAAGCAACAGTACCATTATGTGACTTACACTGGTCACAGGAAAACTTGTTTTACATCATTACATGAATACTAAGCATAAATTCTGTCTTGCTATGCCTCTATGTTGCCCAGCACAACATAGTCTGATCCAAACAAGGCCCTTTTGGTGCTGCCAATAAATAAACAAATAATTGGGTGCATTTCTCTGATGGTAGTCAAATAGTTTGTCCTCTCACTACATCCACAGTACTGTATGGATGGACCAGTCAAACACAATGTATGTGTGGAACGAATTCTCTCTTTGTTATCTAACACAATCATGGCAGAATGAAATTGTGCAGCTCTGCTAAAAAGTATTTTTACAGGATACTGCAGAAAACTCAGTGATTAAAGTTTATATTTTTTTCAGTTTGCTTAAAAAAATTTCATTATGAATTGTACTTTCAGATGCTAGCTATATTGAATGTGTTACACATTGACTTGAATTTTATTGCCTGATTTCAACAATTACAAATGGTTGCAGCAAGACTGGCTTAAATGAGTGGTGTTCCATGTATGGGCCCAGGCTCTGTTCCACTGATTATTGTTCAACCTTGTGTACAAATGCAAAGTTATTAGTCCCCAACTAGGCTTTTTATGTAATGTGTTCTGTGAACCTTTGAGAGCCAAGAGGAGAAGTCTTAGTTAAAATGAATAAATTACTTTTAAGGCACCCTTTATCTTTAAAGCACAGCTACCATTAACTCACTGCTCAATTAAGCAAACTGGGTTCTGCATGCCTAAGCCAAGAAACATTTATGTTATGAGATGATATCTCAAAAAAAAAAATCAAATTCTCTGGTAATCTTGATGCTCTTGTTTGATTCAATTACTAGAACTGGTAGAAAATTTTATGTGAATGAGGCAAGGGTTTGCTAGCAAAACTGGAGAAGAAACATTAAAGAGAATGGTGCTTTGAAAAACATTCTTCTCCTTTATTCCTCTCACCCCTTGTAACCCATTTCCATGGAAGATATAATAAAGAGTTTTATATAAGGCTAGGGATAGAGCTAATTTTCCACTGCATGTTCCATTCCTGTGGCAGGGGACATGCAGGTTTAACTTAATTCTACATGAACCTGTATTAATTCAGGCTCTGTACCTGCATTTTTCTCAAAGGAGGGATTTATACAGATATAGGATGCATAGCCAGTAACAAGCACTGCTCCAACAAAAACCAGGTTGCTGAGATGGAAAGAAGAGGTGGGCTCAGGAGTCAATGTTCTGCAAGGTCTTTTTTCCTTCTTCCTACATCTACATTACCCATGAAATTCCCAATACCCCCACCCACAGAAGATATCAATGAAGTTTCCAGAGGCAAAGCTCCAGCTTTCTAATCTTGCATACCTCCCAAAAGAAGAAAGCATGACTACTAGACTTGCACTTTCCCAGAAGTGCACAAATTCAAGGGGTTTTTTCTCTTTGTAATTGAACAGAATATATTCAGTCTACTAAATACAGGTAAATATTAAGAGTAGAACTACCAAAGCAAGGCTTGTTGCATAACTAGAGATTTAGTTGAGTCTTGTGAGAAGTTCTGGATCAGATAGAAAGTGAGGTTTATGAAAATGCAACTGTTCAGAACAAGAGCACTCAAAAATGGAGAAAAAGTTTTAGTCATGTTACATGAAGCACAGACTGGTTCTCCAGGAGGAGATAATTCTTTACTCTGTAACTTGCTTTTGGGTTCATTAGGTTTACAGTTACCTTGGGAATATTGTAGCAAAAGAACCCAAAAAGATTCGATTGGTATTTTACACAGCATTTTCCCCTACTTTAAAATCAGAATTTATTTAGCTACAAAAAGGTTGTAAAAAAATCTTGCTTTATTAATTCTGTATCCTATAACTTTTAAGCTTTCCTGTAATAGTCTTTCTCCCTTTTTTCCCCTACTTTATATGTATTTTCAGCAAGCTGGAATAAATTTGAACCATAACAAACTAACAAAAATATGCAGAGAAGCATTTTGAAATAGATCACGCTTAAATATTCTCAGATTTTTTTTTAAACCAAAGTTTTCAAATTTTCATCACATTTATATTCAGTTTATTTATATTCTGTGTAGACTTTGAACTTAAAATCCCTACTGCATAAAAAATACATAGAGTGCTGGCACTGATGCACCTTTATAATTAATGAAGAGAAACAGGCCCTTTTAGAGTGCTTCACCTTCTCCTCCAGGAACAGATGAATTCTGCCCTAACATCACTTGTTTCCCACCATTCACTTGGAAGAGTCTAAACAATATCTCATACATCTATAGCTACAGTAAAGATTTGGCTAGCTGCATTGCAGCAATGAATTTATTTATTGCTAGCACAACACTCACAAGATGCTTGTTACCACTTTCTAGTCTACCTTTACATACTGAAAAGCGTCTACTTTTCATGCTGAAAAACAAAAAATAATTCTGCTTTATATTAATCAATGTATGCCAAAATCATATACCAAAAAACTCAATCAAAAAGTTTTCTTTGGACACCCTAAGGACCCTAATGGTAATTCCTCAACAGCATATCCATTTCCAGTCCATCTAGTGAAGCAACATGAAGTAGAAAATAACATAAACAGTAACCTTACCTGAGTGCTTGTAGAAGATGATTCACATCACTATATTACAAATACATAGAAATGGTGTAAATTCTGAATGAGAAAGGATACATTCGTATGGCTCCTGTTCTTGTTCCAATTGCCAGAATTTTCTGAACTGGGTCAAAAGCTAAGGCAGTAGGTAGATAAGGAAAACCATGGCGCACCGTCTGAAACAGAACAAATGAGCAAAGTGATTAAATTGTAATCACTGATAACAGCATGTACGTTTTATGTTATGCGTATAGGAAGAGAATCTATGTTTTTCTATATATTGTAGTATTTGCAATACATTTCATAAAAAAATATTTAAAAATATAAAGAATTTTGAATAAAGACATTAATTTCACTCAACAATTTCTAGATATGCTCTTTAGTCTGTAATATTTTAAATAGTTCCGATGTAACAAAGTAGATTACAAAGTATATGCCAATATGCAACTGAAATATATTGCTTATACAGTATACTGAAAGATAATCTCAATATGCAAGGCAGCTGAACTTTAATTTGAAAAAAAAGACACATAATATGCTTTTAAAAGACTGTCACAAATAACCTCAGCCTCCACAGAACATCTTCAGCAGAAAGAAATGGAACATATCCAGGGGAATAGATCCAATAAACCAATAAACTGAATTGAGTCTATGAGGTAAAAATCCTCAATATCAATTTAAAATACCAAGAAGCCAGAGATGATGTTCTTAAAATGAGCAACTGAACCACTCACCCTTTCTTAATGTTTATTTATAATACCATGCTTTTAATTCTAATTTTTAGAGAGATACCTTGGAGAATAAATGAACTGAGCATGATGCAATACATCCTTAAGTTTGAAGACTGCCTCAAGTAATATTTTAAGTTATCTTAACCTGGAAGTTATGACCAGTATGACCTGCCTGATTCTTAGGAGGGAGAACACTAAAACAAGAAAAAAAAAGAAAATAACTAGACTAATCTATACACATATACACAAAAATGATCTGTAATTCATTTCATGTGTGTGACTGCTTACCTAAAATTGGGTGACAAATAACTTTTATTAGTATAAAAACAATGCTTTATAATATTAGATATAATACTGAATTTCGGATTGACTCTTATTTTGTAAATGGTTGGGATTGGAGAGAAAGTAGTTTGAACTGAATGAAATTTAACATTTTAAGGTATTTTTTTCTTCCTTGAAATTATCTTGTTCATGGACTGTGTCTACTGAAACATTCAGCAGTCCCTATGGAACAACTTTAACAAAAGGGATTCCTTAATTGCAGACCTGTTGAGTAAAAAGCAGCTGATGATTTCTACAGTTGTATCAATCCCACTCTTCCATTTCAGCTGGAAACACTTGAACTGATATTCACAAGTAGTTTGGGAACAACCAAATGTATGTTTTTCAGCAAATAACTCCTTCCTTAAAAGAAATCTTACTCATTTAGTATCTTAATTATTGCTGATAAGTGATTTCTTTTAAAAGAATGTCTAATTATTAGTTTCTAGACTGCAAAAATCCAGAAACATATGCTACTTCAGTACACTGTAAAAAAGCAACTCACATTTTATGTTAATGTAGACATTTATGAAAGATCTCCATAACTCTGTTTCTGGTTCAGTTCGGTTTGTGTTGCAAGTAGATTTTTCAATTATACATTGACAAAGCTAGTTTAAGCACACATGTAAGAATGAGTAATGATTCTAGAACTGTGCCTGGGCCTCCTTACAGCATTTACTAATACAAATGAAGAAGAGAGAGGCCACAAAATTAACTTGATCCTAGGGTGACAAAAATTATATTCCTACTTAATCTGAATTATGTCTAGTAGGAACAATATAAACCAAAACTATCAATGGTAGGCAGAAAACACAAAACAAAGCTTAATTTGGAAAAAAATCCACCATCTCAACAGCAGGTAAAAGCAGAAAAAAAAAATATCCTAAAACATCAGTATGCATTCAAAGAAATATAGGACCTACCTAACCCAAATGCGCTAAGAAAGAAGGTGCCAAAAAAAAAAAAAAAACAAAAAGCAAAAAGGAGAGAGAAAAAGCAGACAGCAGATGGAGCCAGGACTACTTTTCTCTACATTAGCCAGCTTTCTTTTATGTCTTCGGTTTTGGCATGCTGTCTCTAGAGGTTGTCTGTGCTCCCTTGGACATACAATTTATGTGCAATATGTGAAATAATTTATTTGAAACAGAACAATTACAAATGCAGCTATAATTTCAGCATAAATCTTTGTTCAGCTTTGTTATTCTCTTTCAAATTATCTTTTAAATAATTTTAAGCAAATATTCTTACGGTGAATTGCACATATATATCATTCCAGTAATCTTTACACAAGCAATGTACCTAAATGAATATAGGAAATTGATTATTGCTAGTATTCAACTAATGAACATTTTAATATGCTGTACAGAACATAACAATCTCTTCCTGTCTAAAATACCATGATATATTTGATTAGCTGAAAAAAGGAAATCACACTAGTAATAATATGCAATATCCAGTAAAATTTTGTTCACATGGTATTTTCATTTTATTACTTTTTTTATATTTATTTATATTTTATATATTTATTTATATTTTATTACATTTTTCAGTGTAAGAGTTTTTCTTAACTTTTGCTTATATTAGCACTTATATTAGACTGCCAAGAAACAATTCTTTCAAAGTGTTTTTTATATTCTCTAAATAGCCTCAGAAGATACAGGACTAAATTCAATTTTAAACTATATCAATTAAGTAATAGTGTTTATAGTCAAAACGGTTCCTGCTAATTTGCATAAACTTAACATTTGTAACTTTTCTACTAACATTTTACAGATACCCCATTTTGTCAACACCAAAACTGATTTAGTTAGATAAATAATTTTTAAGATATCTACTTGTTAAAATTGAGGTATGTAGTCAAAGCCTGTGACTCAGGATGTAGAATCTTCTTCCAAATTGCAACCAACGTGCCACATGCAAAAATCTCACTGAAGCAAGTAATTGATTGGTTTCCAAAACAGAGAATGAAGTGTTGACTGAAACCTATATAGCCTCTTACTCAACTATGTAGGAAATTAAAAAATATCAACGATTACACCTTTCACCAAGGTTGAAAGATGAGCTGCCACGCATTACATCGCTGTAAGACCATGACATCCCTCATGTATAGGCTTCTGCGCCTGGAATCTCTGATTGGTAAGACTGCTTCCTGCTCGGGTAAGATGGAAAGAGGAAAAGTTATCAGTAGCCTTCCAATCTAAGGAAATGATACAGGAGGGATACAGTTTTTTATCAGTTAAATTTTCATTTTTTAAAGGAATATTTTTTGTAAAAATTGTGTAGTAAACACTGAAGTCTCCAAGTTCACAGTTGATAGTAAGCCCCTTCAGTTAGCGAAATTCAGTACCAATAAGTGGGCAAGAATATGATAAATGAGCTTTATGGATAGATGTAAGAGAAAGCCTGGGGAGGGAAGAAATCTTAACTAGGCTTACACAGTGCTGAATTTGGAACCAGCATTTACAATTCAGGAATGATTTTGTGGGTACGGTTAACATTCCTCTGATGCCTTTTGTTTAATGTGCAGCAGCAACCCAAAAAACCAAGTAACATCAGACATCACTAGGAGGAATATAAGAACAACAGAGAGGGCATAATTTTGTTGCTATATACAACATCTGTGAGTCCATTACTTGAGTACTGTATGCAGCTCCAGTCTCCATATCTGAAGTAGTCAAGTCAGAGCTGACAGAGGGAAGGCAACTAATGCTCAAGGTGATGGATGCAAGCCCTATGAAGAAAGACTAAAAGTGCTGCAACTTCAGTTTGGAGAGGAGAAGGCTGTGGAGGAATATGACTGAGATTTACATAATCAAGACAGTGGGTAAGCTAAACGTGGAACTGTTATTTGGCAAAACCACACAGCCATTCAAAACAAATGAAAGATTAGTTTGAAACAGAAAAAAAGAAAATACTGCTTTACGCAATAGATTTTGAAGGCTGACAGTATCAGCAGGTTCAAAAAGGCATTATACAAATTCATGGACATTATTGATAAATTGATTCTAAAAGGACCGGCTACAGATCCACTCTCTGGCATCTCCACCCAGTGATGGTGGATGATGGGAGATTAGAAAGGGAATGGACTGCAGAAAGTGATCTAACTTATTACTCTCCCTAAATGACATATTCTATTGCCACTGTCAGACACTGACTGCTGGGCGATATGGACCATTGGTTTGTCTCAGCAGGATATTTCTTATGAGCTTATTACCTTCACCAACAGCAGTGCATCTGAGAGAGGCAGAAAAAGGAGATCGGTATCAGTGGAGAAAAACACAGTACAGAAAAAACACAGAAAATGTGGGTACACAAGGGAAAAATAAAAGTGTTACTGAAATAGGGAATACAGGGCCAGGAAGATATGCATAGGGAACAAACAGATTAGTAAGACAGTTTCTTAATATTTACATAAACAACTTTTGGCATAGTAATACTTCCAGCAATAGGTAAATTCATTTTGTCTTTTTAAATTACAAAACTTATTTCGTTATAAAAAGGTCACTAAATAATCCACGGTGGAATTTTGAGAAAATATCTGTCTTCGACATAGAGTTCAGACACAACCTGAATTTTAACAGTTTAGTTTCACAAATATTATACACTGATACAAAAAAAAAATCAAAGAGATATATTAGAGATATATTAGAGTATTTGAAATTGACTGATATTATACATTTTTGTGCTATGAACATATGAAACCTTTTTTCCTTTAGAAGCAGCTTAATGTACTTTAAAAAACCTAAGTTTGCAAAAATTAGTATCAAGTCTATATTTTTAATATGAATTGTTTTCATTCTACTATTTTCAAGAAGTCTGTATGCAGACCATATGACTGTTTTTTGAAACATGCTAGTTCTATCACACATTACATAATTTTTCAATTTCCTCTTATTACTTGGCCCTGGAAGATAAAGTAAATCCAATGGCACTTTCCAGACAATTAGTTTAAAAAATACATAAGTAAAATGAAGAAGAAATCTTGCAGTCCTGACTAAAGTCCTTCTTTTCACAACAAATATCTCCGCGGAAACTTCAGAGGTGTGTTTTTCCACTGTCATTTTCAGTTCTGTAAACTGGATGTTAAAGGCTATCATGATCTGAAAGGTCCCTTTCAACCCAGA